AGCAAACTGGTGAGAAACTGCCCCGAGACAACACCCAAGTGAGGAGATGACCAGATCCACAGGCTGGCGAAGCCTCTGTAACCAAAGGAGATAGGAAGGGTCTCAGGACATAGCTGAGGCTTGATTCCGTTGACCCACGATCCCTGAGATGGCACCCTGTCCACATCACTTCACTTAGTTCCTCTACCAATGCTTCAAACCCTAGCAAGACTGAAACTAACACTCTTTATAGTCCAGAATGAGGCTACCATAGACACACAGGCAAAAGGCACTGACTGCCTTGCCAGACTAACCGTGCTCTGTGCAATGTTGGCATCTGGCCATAGGGACCCTGTCACATTAGCACACCAGCTCATAGGAACCAAATGTGAAATGGGACAAGGAATCCTGTGGCACCTTATAGAGCAAGACTGAAACTAACACTCTTTATAGTCCAGAATGAGGCTACCATAGACACACAGGCAAAAGGCACTGACTGCCTTGCCAGACTAACCGTGCTCTGTGCAATGTTGGCATCTGGCCATAGGGACCCTGTCACATTAGCACACCAGCTCATAGGAACCAAATGTGAAATGGGACAAGGAATCCTGTGGCACCTTATAGACTAACAGATGTATTGGAGCATAAGCTTTCATGGGCAAAGACCCACTTTGTCAGATGCATGTCTGATGAAGTGGGTCTTTGCCCACAAAAGCTTATGCTCCAATACATCTGTTAGTCTATAAGGTGCCACAGGACTCCTTGTCGCTTTTGCAGATCCAGACTAACATGGCTACCCCTCTGATAAATGTGAAATGATACATCATTGTGCGTAACTGGTGCATTCTAATCTTTATTGCTGCTAGAATCCATAAATATAGTTTTGGGTCCTCTCTTCCCACCCATTAAGTTGATTTCGGGTCCCAATAACTTAAGGCTATTCTAGTGTATACTTAAAAAATGCAGAGCATGGTTGAATTGCCTAGGCTTAAGGAAGTGATGTAGATCTGTGCTAATAAAGCAGTTTCTGGTGTTTTTTGAGAATTGCCAACAAAAACTGGGGGAGGGAAACTTGTTTCAAGTTGAACCAAAACATTATGGACACTTTGATAAGTCAAAAGTTAAAATAAAAAGTAATTTCAATGTTGAGCTTTTAAAATTTTTGGATTGTTAATAAAATTTAAGGAAATTTCTGAGCAAAATATCACTTTGTACTGAAATTAAAGCATTGTTTTAAAAATGTTGAAATTAAACTATTTGGGCTGAAACAAATTGGCAAAACTGATCCAAATTAACACATTCCAGGGTGCAGCTGCATCTTTTGCTCTTACCTCTTCAAACAAAAACATACCTTTCTGCCAGCTTTACAGGAGGATTTGAAAGCAGGTAATGAAAGGGCTTTTTAAAGCCTTTGAGCATAATAGGAGGATGCATAATAAAGATAATGACAATTTGTAGCAAGTACAACTGCTACCAATTTAACATGCTGGTCCAGCTTAAGGATGTTAAAATGCGGTTAATTGACTAGCCGACTAGTCGATAGGCACTTCTGCATTCCTCCGCTGACTCTGGGCTGCACATGGGAGCATGCTTTGAAATGCACAAGAGTCCCCAGCGGGGGTTCTTGTGCATTTCAAAGCCATGGAAGCTGGGGTCAGCGGGAGACTCACAGTCCTCAGCTGACCCTGGGTTCCATGCTATGGGCCCCCCAACCTCTTTGAATCGTGCGGAGGTGACAGTATCAAAGCTGCCCCTTTGCAATTCTACCTCCATATGATTCAGAAGGGATGCAGGGGAGTCCGGGCACAGCTGGGGGTTCCCTGTGAACCCAGGATCAGCTGGGGAGTCCCCACTGACCCCAGGTTCCACGTGGCACTCCCCAGCTGATCCCTGGTCCTGGGGAAATGTCACAGGAAGCCCGGGGTCAGCTGGGAGTCCCCAACTGAACCCAGGCTCCCCTCCTGCCCTCTTTGAATCGTGTAGAGGCAGTAGTTTCAAAGGGGAGCTGCCACACAGCTGATCAGCTGTGCAGCTGCTGTCCTTTTGAAACTGCCACCTGCACGCGATTCAAAGGGGTGGCAGGGGAGTCCGGGCTCAGCTGGGGACTCCCCAGCTGACCCTGGGCTCCCCGTGGCATTTTCCCAGGGAAATGACTTTGGGATCAACTGTGCAGCTGTGGCCTTGGAATTTCAAAGTGGCAGCACCGCTGTGCAGCACTGCCTCTTTGAAGTACCTCTCTCCCCCAACCTCCCTTTGCTGCCTCTATTTCAGTGGTCCCCAACCTTTCAGGGCTGCCAGGCGCCCAGGGGGTGGGGCCGCGCATGCGCTGCATGTCTGGGGGCGGGGCCGCACATCCGGGGCTGGCACCGTGCACATGCCACACACCTAAGGCGCAAGAATGGCTTGGGCCGGCCCTGGTCACTTGGCGGGTGCACATAAATGCCCCAGAGGGCACCATGGAACCGGGGGGCACCGCTCTATTTCATAGTGGCAGCATGGGGGAGGGGGAACAGAATTGACTAGTCAACATTACTATCCAATAAGCAAATGCTTATCCGATAGTCAACTAGTCTTTAACATTCTTAGTCCAGCTGCCACATGGCTCCAGGCCTGGCTACCATAAGAACAGCCACATGGCCTTACCCTGGCTGCCGGAGGAGCAGCTGCCGTGGCCATGCAGCTCCAGCCCCGACAGCTGGAGCAGCTGCTGCCACATGGCCCTAGCCCAGCTGCCGGAAAAGCAGCTGCTGCTGCACAACCCCAGCCCCTAGAGCAGCTGGGCAGCCACTATGTGGCTCTGGCTGCAGCCCTGGGGAGTCAAGGACAGCAAAAAGCTGCTTGGCTGAGCCCCCACTCGCCCACCAGCAGCAGCAGCTCACCTTCCATTGGCACACTGCTGTGTGGTTCTGCAAAGGAGGTGGGTGGGTGGAGAACTTTTTGTGCACAGCCATGCAAGTGAACACCTGAGAGGGAACTATGGACAGAGGTTGCACTGACTTAAAGCAGTGTCAGTGCTGCACTATATCAGTGGGAGATGCTCTCCTGCCAACATCAATTCCACCTCTCCTTGAGGGGGAGTAATTATGACAGGAGAGCACTCTCCCATGGACACAGTAGTACATCAGCACAGCTGACCAATATAGCACAGCAGTGAAGACAAGCTCTAAGTCTTATAGTGAGTTCTTCTTCCTCAAAGACAGTTAGTCTCATCCTCATATTACAGAAACGAAAACTGAGACATGGAGCTTTGAAGTGACTTGTTCAACATTATTCAACAGACTGGCAGAACCAAAAATATAGCCCAGGTTACCTGAGTTAGGTGCAGTGTTCTACCCACTCAGCTATACTGCTATCTTTGAATACCTTTTGTGATACTCTCTTAGTTCTTATCAAATGTTTGATATTTCAAAAGTGGTAATTACCAAAAAAAGAGGTAAAAATAGTCTCTAATTGGGAGAAGAGGGTAAATGCTGCTGTGGGGGAACACTGCTATTGGTTGGACTCCAGGCAGAAGTTTGTGTGGAGGGGACAGAAGGTGACTGAAGGTTTATACCATCTGCCTTGTTTCTGAATAATCCCCCATGGCAGCACAGCATGAAGGCAAGCCTGGTTATCCAACCATTTTATCCCCTTTCAGTGGAGATCTCTGCCTGGTCATGAGCAGCTCCCCTTTTCCAACACCTTTGTGATGGTCTCTTGCCCTTTGAGTTCAGCTGCCGCCTGGAAAGCAATGGAGTTTTAGAAAACTTTGTGCTAGGCCAGGAGGATCCTTCTCTCTTTCATTAGTCTGAAAATTTGTCTGAACTCGGTATTAATTTGATATGGGTCTCCGCTGTTTTTACTGCTAAGGTCTTCCCATTGATCTGTCTCCCCCAAGAGCCATGTGCATTGCACTTTAAGTTGTGGTCTACACTTAGAAACCTGCTACTTTGACTGTCAGCCACAACCCTGTCTGGTACCCCTTCAACCTAGCTCACAAAGGGCTCAAGCCCTGCCAAAACTAGACAAGGTAAAAAATCCAGGTCTGTATGTGGGGTGTGTGTGAGTGTGCGTGCGTGCGTGCAAGCAAAGGTTGTGAAAGCACCCCCATGGTCCCCCAAGAAAGCATGCTCCTCCCGGCCAGAGGAAGGCAGGAGTGGCATGCTGCCCAAGCCCCCCTTCCCCATGCTCTGGCCTGCTGAGGGAAGGCTGAGGCTGATTTCTCAGCTGACTTGGGGACCATGGAGGGTGTGTGCACACCCTTGCAATTCACATTTACAAAAAAAGCACCCCCACCCCCCAAAAGTCTTGTGTACTGCCGGAAATCTCTGACCATTGCACTAATTTCTGCAGTGCTCTGATTGCCACTGAGAACTGGCCAATCTCTGCTGCAGCTGAGGCTGGACCTACTGGATTGCAACCCCACCTCTACCACAGCCATGATCACTTTACACAGGGTGTTGGTTAAATTAAGTATTATGGTTATGGCTGATGACAGGACCAATTGGTGTGCCCCTTCATAGCTAGAGTGTGCTGAGAACAGGGGGGCTGTGTTTGGGGAACTGTAGAGGGGCAGATTGGGATCAGCTCCATACAAAATGAATGGAGGAGAAGAGGAAAATCGGGAGCCTGGGTAAAGAGGTTTGTTCCCCACCACTGCCCAATTATGGGAGCACGCCTGATTCTTTGCCAGCCCCCAGGATCTAGGGACCCACGTCTGTCCTGTGCCGTCTCCCTCTCTGGAGCTGAGTATATTGGGGAACTGTAGAGGGGCAGATTGGGATCAGCTCCATACAAAATGAATGGAGGAGAAGAGGAAAATCGGGAGCCTGGGTAAAGAGGTTTGTTCCCCACCACTGCCCAATTATGGGAGCACGCCTGATTCTTTGCCAGCCCCCAGGATCTAGGGACCCACGTCTGTCCTGTGCCGTCTCCCTCTCTGGAGCTGAGTATAAAGCCCCAGGCTGCCTTTTACCGGCTCCCCAGCCACGCCGCGTTCCAG